TTGAGTAGACCCCCCAGGTGTGAGAAGAAGCCTCTGGAGTGCATCCTAAGTGCCCAGGAGGGTGCACCTGCAATCACATTATGGAACAAAGATGGACTTGATCCTCTCTGTGCCCAGTGAAGATGTGCGTTTATCTACATGTCCCCCAGTCCATGTTTACCTAAAATGTTCCTAATAATTCCACATAGTGGGGACCTGACAACCTCCCCATGCACCTCCATCAGTGCTTCCCTGGCCTTACTGGAAGCATAGTATTCCTCAGATCTTTTCTACAGCAGCTGAGGCTGCTCTGGTTCCTTACGTCTTGCTTAGGACTACATCTTATTCTTAGCAATATCCTTCATTTACCAGAGGATAAGAAACCACTCAACATTTTTTTAAAACTTTTATGCTATGGATGTCTAATCCCTCCTCCTGATCTCCTGCAGACTCTCTCTGACAGGTCTTCATAAACAACTCAACTTTCCACCCCTAGCAAGTCCTGACTCTGCTTTGCAATCCACAGCTGGAAGGTGGCTCTCAGCCTTTAGAATCACCAGGGACTACAGTCTAGATAAAACATGACTTTTTGCTAGCTAAATTATTTTTATTGAATTTTTAATTATTTTATTTTTATTATATTTATTAAAAAGAACATGAAAGAAACAAACTCTGTGGTAACAGAAGGCCACAGCTTGACTCTAGTCTTGTATATGACTAGAGTTCCAGCTCCTGTTGGTTTCTTGAGAAGCCAGTGGGGACCACAACTATTTGCACCTGTACTAGGTTTTACTTTAGTCTGAAAGGAAGTTCCAAGAAAAACTCTTCCAGGAAAGCAGCCTTTAGAAACATAGGATAGTTTGTGTTGAAAGATCATCTAGCTCAACCACTAATTTGGATTTGTTAAAAACATACCTGGCTGCAAATAACCCTGGAAGGGCTTCTAGAAGCTCCCAGCTGATGGAGGCCACACAAAGAGAAATGCTGTAATACAAGAGAGTGGGCATGCAAAATGAAGAGGGACTTTAAACAGACCATGACTCAACTACTGCTTATCACAGGAAGGTCATCCATACACCAGCTTTTGAAGAAGATAAGCAAGGTAGAGTAAAACAGATTAGGAAGCAAAAATCCCCTGAGGTTTATTATGACTAAACCAGACAAGAGAACCCTGGATTCCATATCTTTGACACAAAAACAATCAGAAAGAAATAGTACAAATGGCTTCAGAACATTGCTCCAAAAGCTTCAGAGCAATTGTAGTGCTCCATTTCTGGTTATGTATTTACTGCTTAGCAATTGTAGTGCTCTTTTGCTGGTTCCATATTTACTGCTTGCACCTCAGGGACTTGTCACAGCTGTTTCACACTAACTTGTAAGACAAAAATTGATAATAATCAGAACCTTTCAAAGGAGGAAGATGCTTTTTTTTTTTTTTTAGATGCTGCCTGACATCTTACAAGTTCTCATGCTTTTCTGACAGGAAATATTCTCTGTTACATTACAGAGATAAACTCATTCCCAATGTACTAATTTAAAAATTTGCCTTCCTGCAATTCATAACCACCTTCTTTTCCTTTCAGCATAAATTCACATATTTACTTAAAAGTAAGTAGAAAAAAGTCACAGACATCAAACTGTGATTCATGTCACACAGGTCACAGATGTACTGTCATCAGCCCTGTGTGGAAGGTTTTCCTAAGGAGGTTTGTACCATCTCAGCCACATCTCTACTTTCTGAACTATAGCCTTCATTACAAATGAAGTCTCCTTATTTTTATAAGCATAAGGAAAAACTTCACATTTCTACAGAGAGTAGAAAGAACATGACATAAAACCTTAGCAGATGGTAGACTCCTCTTCATAACTGAAATAACTCAGACAGAAAAGGGAGCAAAAAAAGCAGTCTTCTTCCCTTTCTTCCCTTTGTCACAGTAATTATCAATTCTTCTTCAAAGAAATTGCCAGCAATGAGAAGGTAACATCAGTTGCAAAAATCAGTCTCCCACTAAACCAGTCACTGTAAAGGCAGCACATTTCACACAGTCCCAAGTAATTAGTAATACCCATAATTTCTACTTTAATCACAGAAAGTCTAGCTCTTTCTTCTTTAGCCTGCTTAGTATCTCCAAAGGGCTGCTGTCTTCCCAAGAGGGCTACTACACTCCACAGACTACCTTCTCTGGCTGTGAAGTTCTAGAGCACCAGAAACCCACTGGAAGCTTTTCATCCTTCCGTGGGGTCTTGATAAAGAAGATTTACCATTCATTGACTCCTATCTGAGCTTGCCCTTGCCAAGAATTCCTAAGGTCTTTGAGGTTGATAGACACATCACTAACTAGAGCAAAAATAAAATGGCCAGAGATGATGCCCACAAAGTCAACAAAGCAATAACAAAGTGTAATATTCTAGATGCCAATCAACAAGATTTGACACATCACTGACCAGCAGTCCTTGTACAAAGCAAAAAAAATACTTTCTACATTTGAAAATTGCTAATGTGGGTGGCAAGCTGATGTAAGATACAAAAACATCTGTCATTTATCGGTGACTATAACTTTTATGAAATGTCTTTATAATGGACACTAATGGCTGACAAATTATTTTTCCACTACTTAGAACTGATAACATTTTAATCATTACTCAACAGGCTCTGGCTTGTTTATTGTTTCTCTCTTACTGTTACTTCCTATGGTCACACCACAAGACCACCAAACCACTCTTCACGTTAACAACTGCAATTATAAACAATGAATCATCTTCATAGTCTACACAGTGCATGTAACATATTATGGAGGGCTAAGCAGTTAGCCAAACCACAAGAATACTGTATGCCTTTGCTAGACATGCTTAAAGTTAGTCCTGGTAAGTGTGTAAGTGTAAAACTACAGCTAAAATGCTTCTTACTGCTGTAACATGGAAGAAAGGTGTATAGCAAACCACCTGAAAAAGTGAAAGATGTACATAATTTAGTCAACATCAGACTGAAAGACATCATAAGAGGTTGCATGCAGCTTCCTCAGTGAAAAGAATGCCTGATATCCCTCCTTCACCACTGAGAACCATAACTGAATGTGGTATGCATGTCAGCAAAGAGGATTTCTGGAAAGATTATGCCTGGCGAGTAGCACTGATTCCTTTTGTAGAGTTCATGTCAACTTTTGGCCCTAAGTCACATTAATCTAAAATAATTTTCTGGTTCACACCTACTTTCTGCTCCAGCGTTCATTAAGGTAGCCTCTCAAAACAAGGTTGGCAATGTGGACTTCTAAATAATCTCAGCTTTATGCACTCTCTGATACAGAAACTCTTAAAATGGAAGAATTTCAGTGGAACCTCTACTTCTAGTACTTAAACCAGTGTACAAGATACACTGTTTTCTTCACTATACTAATGAGACAAAAAAGACCCCCTTCCCTGCACATTATTTTAAAAAATCCCACATATAAACGTGGTTCTTTAGTACACAATAGTGATATATAAAATAAGAGAAATTTCCCCTTCTGGAAACAATAAAGAAAAAAGTTATTTTGAATCTCATTAATCTACTAGATTGAAATGATACACATGTATTAACAGGATGAAAAAATGCTAAATCATTCTCTATTGTTTTACCTCTTTGTCTGAATAATATTTTGCATTTGAAACACATGGAAAATTGGCAAAACCCAAACTTAATTTTCTCTCTTGGTTTTAACCAAAAGGTTATTGTAATATTTTTCTTGTTTGTTGTTTGGCTTGAGCATCAAGGTGTATCTGTTTTAAATAGTTCTGAAATATGATACTCAAATTTTCAGTAACATGACTGAGAATAATTGTCTCTGCTTATAGTCACTCAATCATTTCCAAATCAGCTTACTTCACAAGTAGAAAAAGCTGTTTTCTCCCAACTTTTGGATCCATAACTTATGATACATACATTTCTGAGCTACCTTTATCTTCTGCATGCTTCAGAATTAGGGACATAAAATAGTAGTCATTAAAAAAATCCCTAAATTTCTCCTTCAGAGAAGCCATGCTTTTAAACCTGGAAGCAATGCCTGATTAAGGGGTCTGTAAACTGTCCTTTAATTAAAAAAAAAAAAAAAAAAAAAAAAAAGTAGAAAGGGAAGTCACACAGAAACCACATGCTAATTAGAACACATTAAGATTCAAAAATCTTAATATTCAGAAATCAGGTCTAATCTGCTATGTGATTGTTGTTAAAAATAGCTACTTTCCCTCATTTTTCATAGAATGTGACACTCCTAGATCTCCACTATGCCAATCCATGCTCCACGTGCTTCTCTCATGGGCCATCTTCTGATGGAGGTGGGGAAGATACGACACAACACACTCAGAGGCACCTGTGGCCCCAAGGTGTAGACATCCCCTGTAAAGACACATCAGACCTATCACACAGCTCAACCTGCTACTGGGTTGCCCCCTCAGCACAACCCTACAGCTCTTTTTGGCCTGACATCAAGAAAGGAAACTGCTTAAGACACAGTTATTGTCAGTGTCTGGCCCTGTAACATGGATCAGGCACAGCCACAAGTGGATTCACAACACTTGATGGTCCAGCTGTTGACTCCTGCATCCCAGTTGTCTGCCTAAGCTCCCTCTGTAGTCAATGGAGGAAAACCAGTCTGGTTAGAATACTTTCACCTGTTCTATATCAAACCTTTAGGATGAGAGAAAATAATATCCTAAAAGCACCAGTTTCTCACCACTGACTGTGAAAGAGTTCTAGACAACCAGCTTAAATATGGGGATGAATAATAGAGATTGATTGCACGGGTCTTACAGTCACAGCCAGATGAAAACATTTTATTAATTCTTATGAAGGATGACTTGACTTTGAAGCTTAATGTCATGCAGTTGCAGTTAACACTGAAACCTAAACAGATGCAGTTTGAAAACATTCACCTGCAAATGTAAATCAAATTTCTGTTTGTAGACCAAAGGAATTATAAAGCAACATGAATCAAAATAATTATAGGCAAGGTGAAATTGATTGCTTTTTTATTTAAGAAACTCACCTTATTTCCATTACCAAAGAAGAATTGATTTTCCAACCTTCTGCAGCATGTTGGAAGATTGAGGAGCCACCCTTTCGAATTATCTTATCAGAGCTATTGATCATTGATCTAGTCAAACTCAGTTCACCATCTCTGCAATGCAATATAGAAAACATACAATTACATCAAGGTTAACTCTGGTTTAAGTAATTTACATCCCAAGCACCAGCAATATATCCTTTTATTAACAACAAAAATAAGCAAATATCTCTGAGCTTTCTAAAGAAAATAAACTGTAACAGGAAAAATCTATGACATAGCTATCTGTAATAGTTGACTATGCAAATTACGAGCTTAAATTTGTTTATACTTGTAATACAATAAACATAACATAACAAGAACTACAATAAACTCCAAATTTTGAATCTGGACAAAACTTCATTATGATTGTGAGGCAGATTCTGCTCTTCTAGGTTCCAAATTTCTAGTTCTAGACTAAGAATCAAGTGTTACATTTCAAGACTTTTCCCAGTTCATAATCTGCAATACTGGTTTAACAGATATCTTTGGCCTCCCACTTAAAATGCGAAAGATTTTCAAGCATGAAATTCTGGAGTTTAATTGTATACAAAATACAACACTTCATGAAACTTTTGCATGCACACATCCAAAACATTCCAATTGTCCTATTCTGTCCATCAGTCTTATGATTTTAACTTTTTGACAAGGCAACCTTAAAAAATAAATACAGTAAGTTTTGGGTGATGACCACTGAACACGTGGTGAATACAAGTTGCAGTGATATTAGCCAACAGGCTAACATAAATGGGACAGAGAAGTCCAAACATTACAAGCACAGTTTAAGATGTTACGACTAAAACCCATTTTTATCTCCACATCTTTCCATTATCATCCATGGTGTATCGTCCATAGTCTTTCATATGCCAGAGCAATGTTCAGCTGAGTTCAAACATGGCTGTTCATCACAAATATACCAGAGCTGTTGAATGTAAAAGTTCACCTCAAAGAAATGTCTTGTAAGTCAGGTGTGCACAGGACAATAACATACAGGAATGTGTCTGTCTGTTAAATAAGCATACTCTGAAATACTGCCAATAACAATAATCTTACTTGGAAACAGAATATCTGACCACAGCTCTTCAATGAACAAAATGGTAAAGATGTGAGACTAAAAGCTTCCCAGATTTGCTGAGTTTTGCTTTTCTGTGGCTATAAGCTTTGAGAACAATGGTATCAGTGCCCTTAGTAAGAAGCACAGCAACGTTACTGCTGTATATAAAGCAATAATACTTAGGAAATTATACAACAGACTAAACACAAGCTAACTTGCAACAGGACATAAATTAGGCTAAATTAACCAAATTGGTAATACGTAGTAATTTCTAAAATGTGCTGTCATTGCAAAAGCCCCTATAACTAACAAACCATTACTATACTCTTCACCAAAACCATCTTGCATTACTCACAGCTCCCCTCACCCTCATGCCAACATCCTGAACCCCAGATATCACACTGATGCAGAGGTAAGGCTGCCATCTACCAAAAACCTACAACTTTAGCTAACTTTAGGTTCATGACCAGTACGCAAATTACCCAAATCCTTCTAACCTGAAGGCATGGGAGGATGCTGCAGAAGACCCTAAATCCAATAGACAGAATCCAACTAACACCTTTTACTATATTAAAATTTTTTATTCTCTAAATTGTTGTAGTAATATTAACAATAAATCTATTCCTGCATGTGTTTTCTACATGCACTAAGTGCATGCATCTAAAGGAAAATGACCAAACTATACAGATAAAGCTCTATCTAAGGATACTTCAGAGACGTCTCTAGTTTATTCTAGATTGAATATTATTTAGTACACCCTTGAACAGTGAAACAAGTGACAAAACTTAGCAACAAAATATATTGCCAACACTTAAACATAGCACTTGAAATATGGTTGTTTTCATAGTCACCATTTACAACTGCAGCGAGTCACACAGATTGCACATTGAAAAAAATGTTAAATTATGTTCTTATTAAAGAAGGTCCTAGGCACTTTGCATTAAAGTTATTACTGTGGACAAAAATGTGGTCATTTAGATGCTCATCTCCCTTTTATTAGATTAATTTTCATTTAAAGCAATATTAAATAAACTAATACATAAAAATCAAGACTTTCTCCAGGTAATTCTTCATTGTGTAAATAAGTGAAAGAAATGTGGATTATTTTGTATCACTGCAAATCCTCCCTGATGTAATTAAAAGAGCTACCATACTATGGCAGCAACTTACAGCTGAGAGTGTCAGACTTCACTTTGGATAACCTTCCCTTGGTGAGCAATTGGACCCATATAACAAAACTCTCTTCTCATGAAGATAGTTCATTAAATAAAGTAACTGACTTCAAGTATATTCCATATCAGTAGAAGAGGACTGCTTAAGCAACACTAATCTGCACATAACATGCATGTTTCATTATTTGCTTAACCTTTACAAGGACATTACTGTCTATTTGAAGTAGGGTGTGCTTCACAATAATTGTCCTAGCACACTTTTCTATGAAGCGCACAGCTGGTTTTAAGTTTCTCATGTAATTTGGATCTGTACATAGCCAGTCCATTTTGGATTCTCTGGCGCCACCAATAACCATAAAATAGTCCACCTCGCACATCCATAACTTCTGGAAGTAAAACAGCCCACAGAAAACTGACTCTGCTTGCCCACATGACCAGTCAAAAATAACCCAACATCCCAAACCCCTAATTCAGGAGAAAGGCAAGTGTAAGATCAATAGAGGCACCAGTTATGAGTAATACATTTTTAGGCTATTTTTTCTGCTTCAATGAATGGGATGACAGGCTATGAAGAGAAAAAATATTTCAACAGTGAAAGTGAGTAGTACCATATAGCACAAGAAGTCTCCCTGATAAATAGAGATATCACAAATAACTAGTCAGAAGTCTATTACAGCTGTATTTTGAAAGGTTTGTAGGAACATACATATTTATAAATAAACACACTTGTTTCCTTCAATTTAATATTAAAACAACAGTTTATTTTAGTAAAGTTTTAAGTTGTCAAACAATGTGCAGTAAGCTGAAGGCAGTTTTTTGTTTTGCAAACTTATATAAAGTAATTTCTGAATAATTTCATCAGTTCCTTCTAGTCCGAGAGGAAGGAGTACATACTAAGAAACATGGGTATCAGTGACAATTCTGCCTCACATGTTCATTTTCACCTCTGTTTTCACACAGCTGTAACCCCAAATTTTAAACTTCTGTATATCTCCTAAAATACAGATAGCTTTGTGGTAGAAACTGGGTTACACCCAGGCTGAACAAGAGGAAGAGATACCAGCAAGTTGTGAAAAGCCTGAATAACAAAGGAAGCAAATATTGCACACACAGGTGAGGACAGCCCCTGCCCTCAGCATGTTGTACCAGGGCCACAGCTGCCAGCTGTGCTCAGCTGCCTGTGTCCCCTTCCCTCACTAGATGGTCTGAGAAAGAGGGATGTGCTTTCTGTCTTTAACTCCGGGGCCAAGTAGGCTCTAATGGCCTCAGCTTCCTCCAGGCCTGTACGGGCACTTAAAATTCCCTTATACCTCCTCCTTAAATTAAGGCAAGGGCTTACACAAGAGGACAAAAATCAGCTGTGAAAGAATTCTACCCAAGGCTGACATGCACAAGCGAACAGAAAGTGTGACTTCCTACACTTATACACCTTTTACACCTCCACAGAAAAACCAGCTTGGCTGGGAACCCAGTACCTCCAGAGAACAGCTGAAAGTCGGGAGAAAAATGAGGAATGCATTCACGTACATAAAGAGGAATCTGAGGCGCAAAGTTAAAAATGGCACAGAACTCTTTTGCCTTTCGTTTTGAGTCAACCACATGCAGCAGAGTACATAGCAGACGGTCTCAGCGAGGGACCAGACTTTCCAGTGGAGGAAGCTCGAGAGCTAAGGGGGATGACCCACGCTTCTCTCAGAGCAAGAATCCTTAAGAAAAAGCCACGTTAAGCAAAGCTTCCGGGCAAACTTCAAAGACGGAAGCAGGCGTTCACCTGCCCCGCGGCATGCCTGCCTGCGAAAGGAGCGGAACCGAGGCACAGCGCGCTCCAGAGAACGCCGCCGGCACCTCGGGCCGTCCCGGCCCCCGGGGCAGCTGCGGACAGGTGGCACTTCCCCGTTACGGCGGCTGAGAGCCGACCTCAGAAGCACGGCAGCTCCCGTCCTTTCCCGTCCACTCCCACCCACCCTACGGCCACTGAGCCCCGGCAGCAAGCCCCGCAGCGGCCTCCGGGCCCTCCGGCAGCCGAGCTGCCGGCACCGCGGCTCACAGCCCGAGCAGCGCCGGAGCACCTGACAACCGCACGGCCCCTCGGACCGCCCGCCCATCGCGGCGCCCCGCAGTTACCCGGCGAGAGCTGCCTCCTGGCGCTCCTCGGTCCGTGTTATTTCCTTCGTCTTGTAGAAGATGAGGAGGAGACTTATGGTGCACACAGTCCACCTCTTCCTGACGGAACGCATGTCTTCTGCAAAACGCGGGCCCCCTCCCTCTTTTCCTTTGTTTATCAGGGGTGTGCTGGGAACAAACGCACACGCGGCACGATTTCTTAAAAACACAGCGATGCGGTTTTTGGTTATTCTTTTCCCGAAATAATTACAGAAGATAAAACCAGGCAGGAGCGGAGGCTGGGGGTTCTGGGTTCTTTGGCGTTTAGAGTGTCTCTCTTTCGCCCTGCCAGGCAGCTGGGCTTGCAAGCTGGGCAGCCTTGGCTGGGGAGAAGAGTCCGCGACGTGGCTGCGCCGAGCTGGGAGCGCCCCGCGGCTTCCCGGGGCTTCCCGCCGCTCCCGAGCCGCTGCGGCGCCGCTCGGCCGGGGGCGCGGCCCTGCCGCCCTCGCCGGGCGGGGCTGGGGCGGGCGGAGCGCGGCCAATCGAGCAGCGCGGGCGGGGCCCTGGCGGGGAGAGCGGAGGCGGGAGAGCTGCGCGGGCAGCTGCGGCGGCGGCTCCGCCGGGTTCGGGGAAAGCCTGCGCTCCTCCCCAGGTCACATCCGTTGTGCCCGTGTCGCCAGCTGGGCGTCTGAAAGTGAGAGCGAAGCACTGCCAACGCCGTGCCGCAGAAAAGGAACACACTTCAGAGAACGATGACGGGTTTTGGTCGCTCCTGCTGTGCTTGGTTGTGGCTTGAACAAGGCACTGGAAGTTTTTCCCGGTCTTGCTGTCCCAAAGCCGCAGCAGAAAGCGGGAATGGAGAAGGGAAGCGACGTGGCCCCCGCACAGACCCGCCTGGAGTCCGGCCAAGTCCACCGCCCGTGCCCCACTCCCCAGGGACTTGTTCCACCCGCACCGTCTCAACACGGCCGTTATTATCCCGAATTTCTGCTGGGACAGTTTCTCTGAAATGCACAAAATAAAAGGACAAACCACGAAACCCCAAAACAAAATGAAAAAACCCAAACCCTTGAGATGGATAATGCAACACGAAAATTAAATTATTGGCTATATCCACTTTTCTCAGTATTGCTTTGCCTTTGTCAAAGTGAGTGAGCTGCCCTGGAACTATGCTGATTCTGTGTGACAGGGATCTGCCTGCAGCCCAGAAGTTTGCTCTTACGGAACAAGCAAGACCAATATGACACTTCTCCCAAGGGGGCCCAGGAAAGTTTGTGGTAAATCTAGTGTGACTTCTCTTTCCTAGCTTAGATTACAAGCAAGAGCTCATGAGATGACAGAATCTTCCCTGGGTCTGTTTGGTCTGGTATCTTGCATCTAGAACTGATCATAACAGACATTTCACAGGAAGATGCAAGGAAATTTGGAAGTACAGATTTTTCCTTTCCAGCAGAATACTCCGTCACAGGCATTAGGAGTGAGGAAAGGTTAGAGAAGTTGTTGAAAAATCTTAAGGCTGCTAATAGTTGTTACGTTGGAAAAATCAGTTGTGTGTAGTAAAACGGTTTTAATTCAGTCTCTGTGGAATGGAAGGAATACCTTAGACTGCTTAAACCACTCCACTGAAAATGGGATTTAGCAGCATCTTTCCCTGAATCTTGAGCCGGGCAAATTAATCCTGGACATGTCTCATGTCCAGGACTCCTAGCATTTCTGTCAGCATCTCAGATTATCATGATTTAAACTGTGCATTCTGCAAAGCAGCATTGTTAGGGCAACGGTTTTAGAATTCAGGCTGATGTTTTGCAATAAAAACTTGCTTATTTGGAGGGAACTTAGTACATTTTCAGTCTGGGGAAGCAAGCAAGCTGAGCTCAGACTTGCTACCAACAAAATCCTTGTTCTTTGCTAGGTTAACTTACCACATGCCATTCTGTGCTCTTCCCCTGTGAAATTCTTTCTACAGGGCAACCCAGAAAGCAATTTGGTGACATGGACTGACATCAGATGAAACATTGTTATGTGTTCAGAGACCTCCTTCTGCACTGACAGATCCTACACCATATACATGCTTCTTGCTTTCTATCCTGAATAGATTCACCTTTTCTGGCAGGCTACCAGTTCTTTGGGTTTGTAAACACAATGTTTTTTTCCTTTGTCTTGGCTCCCCATATCTAGTCAATTACCCACGGCATTGCATATTGGTTTTGCTCTGTCTCCTCTACGGCATAGGACAATTTTTAACTAACTGAATTGTGTGTCATTTGCTCAGTTTCATCTTTAGATTTGGCTTAGTGATTGCTTTCTAAAGGCTGGAAGATATACCCAAACTCTGGCAAAACCAATTGAATCCTTTGCAGTCAAGTGAAAGTAGCATTTTCGTAAGGTGAAACTTTGTAGCCACGTTGAATAATACTTCTTAACAGTAGAGTCCTGTATTTAAGCATAGGTCATTCTTATATTTCACCAGAGAGATGAAAGAAGGACTGAAAACATGGCATTTCAGCATGTTCTGCAGGCCCTTTTCTCAACCCACCCAGTGCATGCTCAGCAGTACTGACCAACCTTTGGCTGGTCAGTACCAACCAGTACTGACACATGGCTTGCACCTTTGTTTCCATGTGTCATGTAATACCCTGGTTTCCTGGCTGTCACAGCCTGTATCTCATCATCTCCTTGATACTGATATTTACATTTCAATACCAGAATTTTATTTTTTGAGCCTGTTTGAACTTGCAGTTGTTGTATCAAAGTACTGTTAATTCTTACCTCCAAGTTTCTTCTTGGCTTAGTGAGTTTTACAAATTTTAGCTGTCTTTCTGTTTTAGTTGGCAGCTCTGTATTCCAACTACTATCATTGCTCCCAAAAAGGATTTATTTAAATCAATTAAGGCTGCAAGACTTACTCCTTTTTTATTTTAGTAATTTTTACTTTTCAGTTGAAAACCACTATGTTCCCTTTCCATATTAAGTAAAGCATATCTTCAGTTTCTGTCACAAGTCTCAAGTAAATATTGGAGCTGCCATTTCAGTCAGCCCCTCATAACTACCACATTTTAATTCTGCTGCAGCACTTGCCTGTCCTTTCCTTCCAGCCACCACATTTTTATATGTTCTGTGGGAAGGCTCTTCTGTGGGTAGTCAGTCCATAGCTGCTCTGCCCTTTTTCAGGCAAAAGTGAAAGAATTTTGCCAGTCTCCCTGTAACTTGTCTGTGTGTTAATGACATCCTTTCTTAGAGTTTCTCTAGCTAAGAAGTGAAACACTTTAAAACCAGATGTCCTGATTTAAACAGTACCTACTTTTGCAGTTGGTCTTCTCAGCTGTTCAAATTAGGTTGAAACAGAAGGGAAGGACTCTCAGCAGAAGCCAAAGTGAATACCTGGGCTTTTCCTTCATTCCTCTAGAAAGAAATTAAAGGTGGGAAAGAAAATTTAGCTCACTTGATCTTTTGAACTTGCTTTAATTCTTGGTGATCTTCTTCAGTGCCAAAACAATGCAATCTTTTGAATGCTTTTCTCACCAAGTTTCTGGACCATGTGACTAAGGACATCTGTAGCAGTAGATGTTTACTTCAGCACTTTCCAGCAACAGAGAATCCTTATGCTGTGAAACATTTGACCAGGCCCAGAAAATTAAAATTTTTCCTCTCGCTATCACTTCTCTATGCTATATTTCCATTACATGGTTTGAGAAACAAAACAAACACTTAGCCAAAGTGGTAAATAAAACCTCCACCTTCCCTCCTAATTCTGTCAGTCTGACCCTGTGTAAAGTTTGGGTTTTTTTCCTATTTAAAGCAAATCGCAATGTAAAGAAATTGCATGTGTGAAATTCTACATGTCTAAAAATTCAGGAACCTATGAATTATTCACAAGGAATGGGAAATTTTTGCTAGATTAAGTTACTCAAAATGTAAAGAATTCTTTGATCTGTGAATAAGAGGTTGTTTTGAGGGGGAAATGCAAGCTGGCCTGTGAAACTGCAGACACATCTTTCTAAAAATCTGCAATATAACTGTCATACATATTTGAATATCCCAGGCAGAATTTATTCAATGACCATATTTAGCATGATATGAAAGGCAACATACAAAGTTAGTGTGAGGAAAGATGCTTGATCTGCAAATCTTGAAAAATAGCTGCAAGGCTAGTGAAAACTGTATTTCACAATTGCTCTTGTTAGGAAGCAAAAGAAGCGAGAAACTCTAGATAATTCAAGGTAGGTATTATAATCAGAATCACAGAAGGGTAAATCACTAACTAGAACAAGGTGTCTCTGCAATAAATAGGTCAGTTCTCAAAGAAAAATGCTGAGCAATGCAGGACAAAAGGGAATAAATTATGCAATCAATAACAGCAGCAATAACAACATGTGCTATGAAAAAAAAAAAGCTGCTGATGAAAAAAGCAAAGAATTTGAAGTTGGTAGTGATGCAGAAGTAATTGTTGGTTAGGATTCATGGTAGATATACAAGGAGATATCCTGCAATTAACTCATTTATTACAGGAGCACAATATAAGTATGAACTAAAATTTTTACAGAGCATCCATGATTGGCTATGGAGATGGTGAAGGGCCTTGAGGTGAAGATTCATGAGGATTGGCTGAGGTCACTTGGCCTGTTCAGCCTGGAGAAGAGGAGACTGCAGGAAGTCTACAATTGTGGACTTGTGAGAGAAGAGGATGGGCAGACATTAATCTCTTCTCTGTGGTGGCAAGTGACAGGACTCGAGTAAATGGCATGAAGTTAAGTCAGGAGAGGTTTAGGTTGGATATCAGGAAAAAGTTTTTGACCAACAGGGTGGTTTGGCACTGGAACAGACTCCCCAGGGAAGTGCTCACAGCACCAAACCTGACAGAGTTCAAGAAGTGTTTGGACAATGCTCTGAGGCCCATGGTGTGATCCTTGGGGATGGCCCTTTGCAGGCCCAGGATTTGGACTTGATGATTGTGATGGGCGCTTTCCAACTTAGAATATTTTGTAATTCTGTATAGACTTAAAGTTCTCTTTGTCCTGGATGCATTTTGCTTTTCATGAGATGAGCTATTTTATCACTCTTCAGAACGTCTTCAAATTTTAAGCAAAACAATGATTTGCTAAAAGAGAATCCATTCCAAGAATTTTTACTCTTGGTAGACCTAAATCAGTTTGCCACAAAAAAGATTGAGGACAATGCACCATTTATAGGAAAGGGTTTATACTAAGTTATCTTTAATATAGAGGTAAACTTAGGCTCATTTAAGAAAAATACATCTGTTCTACTTAGTAAGTTTTCAATATATATTTAAGCACGGATTTACTGATGTTGTAACATTTTTATTTGAGCTGTAATTGAATCTCTGAAAGCTGATGCATTTAAAATATTATCCTGATCAACTCCATTTTCTCCATGTGCATTTTAGGATTTTCAGTACAGCCTAAAATCAATTACACTCACTTAAATAAACAATATGGGAAAAATACATCACACTGCGCT